GCCTTTCGGCTTTTCAAGCCTCATTGAGAATTAATCCCAACAATTCGAGGTGTGGAATACTCAGGTTTTGACCCAAGAAAAAAGGGAAAAAAGTAATATTCTTAATTAAGTAAGGCATGCATGCAACAAAATTACTTGCGTGTGAGTGCTGTTTGTTTACGTAGGACATGACACGATATTGTATTTTCTGACCTGATCATGTAGGATATTGTTCGAAATTTAAATCCAGTGTGTCGGTGGAGATTGAAAGAGACAAAATATGGATATCTGGCCAGCAAACACTTGTATAAGAAGACTATAATATATGATTTGTGTTGGTTGAGAAATAAAAAATACATTAGTACCTTGTTGATAAGTAGATTATTGATCAGAAAGAAAAGATGTTGGCTGCTGAAACAAATCCGCCCATGACCTAAGCAATTTATATAAATAAAATAGATAAAAATAAAAATAAAATAAAAACCCTTCTTAAGAAAACTTTGTAGCCATTGATATCACGCAATTGAACATAAAATCATGGGAGTTTTAACGAAAAGTCCGCGGTACTGTTCACTTTAACGAAAAGTCCACGGTACTGTTCACTTATCATGGTACTGTTTACTTTATCCTTTATTTTATCCTTATCGTTAAAACTCAAAGTTTTCAAGTCATTTTCATTAGTTTTCCTTAAAATCATTGCATCATACACTGGCTATTATCATATACACAATATTAATTTATAATTAATAGCATTGCTTGTCAAATGATGTGTTATAAATATTGTTGTTACAATTTTATTATGATGTTTTTATAATTTAGAGTATTATCATTAAGACTAGGACTCTCATACATGTGACATATTTTTGTTATTGAGAAGATATCAATATCAAATTCAAATAATAATAATAATAATCACATATTATACTTTTTTTCGGAGCTAGGACATATTACACTCAAAACGACAAAACCTAATCAAGTAAATTTATCTACACCCAGCACCAACCATTGTACACTATTAAAGCAATTAGTTGTGTGAACTTTCTATGATGTGAAGAGCATGTGTGAAACACAGATTTAAAATAAATAAATAAATATTGAATCGGGTAAATAAATCACCAGGAAAAACACCCGAGCAAAGAAAAAGAGCCTCACATGCTTAAAAATTGACACATCTCGACCCGGAATGTCCATTAGACATCTGGAAGGTAACGAAGCCATAAAATATAGTGATGCGGAAAATGTGAATAAATTTAAACATAAAAGTGCCTAAATATAAGAATGCGCTGTGAGCGGGAATGAACCTATTTCACACGTAATGTCAGAGCATAAGTACAGTACAGTAAGATAGGGTGAGAATTATACCATCGAAGGTAATCATCTACACCAAGATTTGCCAAGAATCCTCATCGATAAGAAAGCTCAGCTACTAAAACCTGAAGAGGCGAAAAATAAGGGTGAGTGAGCCTGAAAATAAAGTTTTAATAAAAAACTTTGAAAACATTATAACCCTTCGCCATAAAACATGTATAGTTTCCAAGATATACATACTACATATAGTATGGAAATACTCACCGTAGCCTGCAAAATATCAAGATATCAATACGGCACAATAGTTCATATATAAGTGCATGACGTCAATAATCGTATACTTTCGCATAAGCAAACATATCAAACCAAGTGCCCATCGACATATGCTGACACACGAGTTGATGCTAAGTTATTCTGACATGAACAGGACTGGGTATAATAATGATATACACTCTAGTGCTACAATCACATGAAGACTGGCGCTATTCGTGATCACATACGAGTCGGAGTTACTATTGCAACCTGTACGACAGGACTAGCACCTACTTGGATCCCAGGCGAGCATGCGGTGCGGATGTAAACATACACATGAAAGACTGGCCCTGGCCTTAGGCGAGCACTAACACCGGTGCAACAAACAATGAGCATAAAACATAAATATAGTCATGCCATAGTGGTTCGATAGTTCTAATCAACATAATATCATTCATAGCCATAGGTATAATCATGGCATCAATAAACATACGCATATATGTGCATCCCGTAGGATTTATGATCACTTCGTAATTTTCATTTATTTCACTAATTCTTATAAGCATTAGTCTAAGCTAGGCATACGTAGTAAATTTTCTTTCAATGTATAAATGGAAACTAACAAATATGTATATACTATATAAAAGAAAAGACTCACTCACCTAAAGTTCGCGCTATAACTCCCTAGCACAAATATCAAGGCATCACGAACAATCGTCGCCTAGAACACATATCAAATCACGTCTCAGAATTCTTATTGATAGAACATGTAACTTACATAAAACACATCCCCAAGGACATTCTAGAATGATTTGTAACCCATTAACCAAAAGTCAACCGTCGATCAAAGGTCGACTGTAGGGTCCACAACCCTACGTAACTTAATCCGGAAGATCCACACCTCAAATTTCGGATCCGTAACTTCCCAAGAGTTTCGATAAGCTTCTAGAACAACATCCTAAAGTTTTGGAACGATCCAATGGTCAGATCTCCGCCAATCGCTAAAACTAAATGGCGGCCGACATTTAGATTTACAAACTTAGAAAACCCATCCGGGAAGATCCGTACGTCAAATTCTCAATCCGTCATTCCTAATATCCTTAAATATTATGTACTATTACGTATTAAAGTTTGGTGACGATCCAATGGTCGGATCATCGAATCATATAATAACCAAGTGGCGGCCCTTAATGGAAATATAACCAAACAACGGAATTTTGTCAATCGGATGTCTAATATGAAATCGGGGCACCCATTTTAGCCTAGGGAGGTCAAGTGGTGTCTATGCCCACACGCTGCCTGGCCATTCCGACTCGTCGAAAAATTCAACTATTGTAAAAAATTCTCAAATTTTACAAGAATGAAGATCTCAATGAGAGGAACAACTTTAATACATGGGTTGAAGTCCAATTCGGGCGGGAAGTGGCCTAAAAATACCTTGATACGACATGAACCCTAGAAATGGGTGGGCTTCGATTCACCCTCTCCGATGCTCCGCCGTGCCAACCAAAGCTTGGGACTTGTTCCTGGGTTTAAGAGAAGTTGACCCATGGTGGTGGTCAACGGAGTTTGCTTCAGGAATGGTGGATCACCACCGTGGGTACCCTCGAAGCCAGTTAATCCAAACTCACGAACCCTAGGCCTAAAATCCACCAATTAATGGATGAAAATGGAAGAGGGGAGGTCGTGGGATGGTTTCCAGGTGGTGGCCATGATCAATTCGTTGGGAAAACTGACGGAAAACGCAGCAGGAAGTCACAATACGGGTTGGGTCGCACGAGAAGGAATCGGGTCAAGGTGATTCGGTACTCCCTTTCTCTCTCTCTCTCATTTCCCCTCCTTTCTCTCCTCTCCCATTGGTCATCTCCTCACCTCCTTCTTCTAGTTGGTCCATCCCCTTCCCTGTTCTCCTTTCCTGATTGGGCAACAACCCCCTCTTTCCTCTATTTTCTCTCTTCTTTCCCCTGTCCCTTCTTCTCCTTTCCCTCAACTAAAATTAAAATAATAATATAATAACAAAATAATCCTAAAATAATAATATAATAATTATGAGAAATATATAAAATAATAAAAAGTAATATTTACAGAAGTACTTTTCGGATTTGTAGTTCCGTAAAATTTTAACCGTAACTCCAAATTCGCTTCCGCTTACACCTACGCATCCATATTGTCGAGTACTTCAAGAATACGATAAAAAAATAGCCCATACGCTTCACGAATTGACGGTTAATGAAAGTCAACGATCTCGCCTCTAAGGGCATTTTTGTCAATTCGCTCATTTAAAATTTATAAAATCATAAAATTAGGGATGGGTTATCACAAAAATGGCAATCATCTATGACAAGGCCATAAGACCTCCCAAATCGAGAGACTCGATCCTACAAAATGTTATCATGCAATCCAATGTTGGACATTGTTGGCTTGATGGCAAAAGTATTGATATACTTTTCTCCTCTAAACTAGAAGTAGGGAATTTGAACTTAGGTGCGCAGAAGATGGAGCATACTACTCTAATCAACTTAATTATCCTCATGTCTGTAGTTGTCAATGTGTTTTATATTTAAACTAGTTTATGGAGTTGTATTCCACAATTTATCATAATCAATAAATTTTTATAGAACTTCCCTCTTTTCTGATGAATTTTTGTTTTCTTCCTGTTGTTTTAGTTTTAAAATTTAAAACAGAATCTAGCCGTTATTAGTTACTTAGTTCCGACCAAAAAAAAAAGTTACTTAGCTAACTTTAGCTTTTACCATTTGTAGGGATGTGGGCAAAATCATTGTGAATGCATGAATGAAACCCTCCTTTATTTACTTTCATCATGCAATGTAACGATAGATTGACTTTGACAACTCACGTACTTCACATACTTATCAAGCGGCCCAAGTTTCTTCCATGTGCCAAAATTTAAACAAAAAGAAAAAGACTATTTTGTTAGTCAAAACTGAAAAGATTTAGAGAAAAAAATAAAAAAAATAAAAAAAATAAAAAAATAAAAGTGTGGCAAGTCACAACAACCCAAAATTTGTCAAAGTAACCAAATGGAGTGCGGGCATTGGCTGCAGCAACCAAGAATAGGCGCCAACGCCATACGTCCCCACAACCATTACCTTCTGTCGGCAAGAAGACAACGCAGACTTTAAACACGCACGAGATATAAACCTCAAGATGGAGAAAATGATTATTCCAAAGTCAAAAGGGATATGCAATTTTCCCCAAATTTTGTATGTATTTGCATGTTCATTTCACCTTGTGCAACTTTAATGACCTGGTAAAGTTCGTCAATCTTGAGCCTTTCAATAACTTGGAAAAGTCTTCACCTTCTTCGGTTCTTCCTCTCTCTCTCTCTCTCTCTCTCTCTACTCTCTCTCAACGCTCATATTTCCCGTGTTTTGACTTTTTTTTATTTGAAAATCTCACTTTCCTCCCCAACTGTGTGTGTATATATATATATATAAAAACTCAACTCCTTTCTCATATATCCTCATAGCGTTTCAAAGTTCAAACCAATTCACAACTACATCAAAAACCTTCGTATCAATCATCAGCTCTCACTTTAATCAAAACTTTGTTGATCAACCAAAAGTATCCTTTGTTACTTCTCAATCTTCCCCAGGTTTTCTCATTTGGGTTTTGAATTTTTCGATTAGATGGACCAAGAAATCGACGTTCCCTCGTTTTTTCTCTGCCCCATTTCTCTAGAAATCATGAAGGATCCCGTCACAATCTCTACCGGGATCACATACGATCGGGAGAGCATAGAGAAATGGTTGTTCTCGAGCAAGAACAAGACTTGTCCCGTTACCAAACAAGTGGTTTCGGAGGATTCCGACATAACTCCAAACCACACTCTTCGCCGGTTGCTCCAAGCTTGGTGCACAATGAACGCTTCTCATGGCATCGAAAGGATCCCAACTCCAAAGCCGCCAGTCAACAAATCCCAGATCGCTAGGCTCCTCCGAGACGCCAAAAAGTCTCCAAACGGTCTGGCAAAATGCCTCCGCGAGCTTCGATCCATTTCGTCCGACAGCGAAGCCAACAAGAAAAGCATCGAAGCCGCCGGTGCAGTCGAGTTCCTTGCTTCAACGATAATCAACAACATCAAGAACGACAGAGAAAATGTTGAAAACGAAGACGCTTTGAGCATCCTCCATAACCTAAATCTCAGCGAAGATGTTCTCAAAACCCTAATAGGCAAAGAGGGTGAGTTTGTCGAGGCCTTGATCAAACTCATGCAACGCGGGAGCTACGAGTCTCGAGCGTACGCTGTGATGTTGTTGAGATCAATTTTTGAGGTTGCTGAGTCAACGAGGATGGCAAACGTAAAACCCGAATTTTTCGCCGAAGTTGTTCAGGTCTTAAATGATCAGATCTCACAACAGGCCTCAAAAGCCACATTGCAACTGTTGATCCAGCTCTGTCCGTGGGGACGTAACAGAATCAAAGCCGTTGAAGCAGGGGCGGTTATGGTCCTGATTGAACTTCTTTTGGATACTTCTTCCGATAGGAGAACCTTGGAAATGACACTCATGGTGCTTGACATGATATGTGGCTGCGCGGAAGGCCGCGCAGAACTGCTGACTCATGGCGCAGGGCTCGCTGTGGTGTCTAAGAAGATAATGAGGGTCTCAAAGGTGGCCAGCGAGAGGGCAGTAAGGATTTTGTTCTCCATTTGCAAGTTTTCAGCGACGTCGAGTGTTTTGCAGGAGATGATGCAATTGGGTGTTGTGGCGAAGCTGTGCTTAGTTCTTCAAGTGGATAGTGGCAGCAAGACCAAGGATAAGGCTAGAGAGGTCTTAAAATTGCATGGAAGGACATGGAAGAATTCTACTTGTATACCAAGCAATTTGGTTTCTTCTTATCCATCTTGAAAGAGAGAGTTGTGACTTTCTCTATTTTTAGTAATTTTCCATTTTTGTGTACATAATTGATTTGTGGTTGGTTTTACGACAAAGAGATACAGACTAATGGACTGGATTACAGTTCCATATATAAATGTTTGATTGCGTTCATATGAATTTCTTTTCTGGTTCTGCCTTTTTGGGAAATCAGAATATCATTAATTTTCTCAATACCTTTGGAACTTTAAGGATGACTATATCTAGATCAATTTCTTGTTTTCGAAATTTTATTTAAGTCGTTTTGGTAAAGAGACATCCAAAGATAATAATTAATCCCCCATACTTTTAGCTGTTCTGGGTCATCTTGTTCATGCAACTTGAAATTGATTGAGAACTGTTCCAGCGCCGGAACCAACTGAAAATGAAAGGAGTAAGTAAAATAAGGAGGTTCTAGACTCGCTCAAAAAAGCCACCCGGACAGAAAAAATAATCATATCTTCTTGCAAGTGCATTACACAATTAATTATTTGCCCATCTTTGTGGACTGATATACTCATACTTTAATTCTTTATTCTTTCATTGATACCTTTATCCTAATGAATTCTAAATCTAGACTTAGCTAAATTAGTTAGAGTAGCGTGCTCCTTTTTCTGCATTCACGTGAGATTATTTCTAGGGTAAAGTACAAAAAATTACCTCAACTATTGGTGTCACGACACTTTCATACCTTATCTTTTAAAATTGATAATGGCATACCTCATCTTTACAATTTGTGTCAATGTTATACCTTCCGTTAGTTCAGCCATTTATTTTCTCAGTTAAATGCTGACGTGACTTAATCCGGAACCTATTTTCTATTAAAAAATTAAAAATTAAAAAAATTATTATTAAAAACTAAAAAAAATCATTTAATTATTTTTAAATATTAAAATAATAAAGAAAAGTAAAAAATTAAAATTAAAAATTAAAAAAAAAAACCCTCACGTCCCCTTTCCCCACCCCCCCTTCTCTTTCTTCTCCCCCATCTTCATCTTCTTCCCTTTCCAGTGCCCTTCTTGCAACCCAGAAAAAAGAAGAAGAAAAAAAAAAAACCAATTTATCTTCACCCCCCGCCCCACCACTCGCGATTTTCCCCGACCCCCCTTCCTTTCTTCTCCCCTCCCATCTTCCCTAAGCCCGCACCCACTACCTACAACCCAAAAAAAAAAGCCCAAGAAAAAAGCCAGATCCCATTGAGGTGGAATCGGGAAACCTTCGGGTGGGAGTGGTGGATTTGGGGTTGGGTTTTTTTTTTTGAGGGGGGGGGAGGAACTAGGTTTGGTTTGGGTTTTTTTTTTTTTTTTTTTCCTCTTCCTCCTTCTTTCTGGGTTGCAAGCAAGCAGGGGGGAGGGGGGACGAACTACGTTTGGTTTGGTTTTTTTTTTTTTCCTTCTTCATGTTTGTCACATCCCGGCCCGGGACGGATCACTTCCCAGGCCCGCTCCACCACCGTAGCACGATATTGTCCGCTTTGGGCTTACCATTCCCTCACGGTTTTGTTTTTGGGAACTCACGAGCAACTTCTCAGTGGGTCACCCATCATGGGATTGCTCTAGCCCCCTTCTTGCTTAACTTCGGAGTTCCTACGGAACCCGAAGCCAGTGAGCTCCCAAAAGGCCTCGTGCTAAGTAGGGATGGGAATATACATTTAAGGATCACTCCCCTGAGCGATGTGGGATGTCACAATGTTCTTCTTCTTTCTGGGCGGTTTTTTTTTTTTTTTTTTTTTTGGTTCTTCTTCTTCTTCTTCGGGTGGGGGAGGGGGGGCAGGGTTGATGGGTTTTCAATTTTTTTTTTTCTTTGAAGATCAAGCAGGAAGATGAAGACGGGGGAGAAGAGAGAGGGGGGGGGGGAAGGGACGAAGTGAGGGCTTTTTTTTTTTTAACTTTTGTTTTAATATTTAAAAAATATTAAATTTTTTGTTTTTAGTTTTTAATAATATTTTATTAATTTTTTAGTAGAAAATGGGTCCCGAATCAAGCCACATCAGCATTTCACTGAGAAATAAATGGCCAAGCTAACGGAAGGTATAACATTGGCACAAATTCTAAAGATAAGGTATGAAAGTGTCGTAACACCAATAGTTGAGGTAGTTTTTTGTACTTTACCCTTTTTTCTATTTTGTTGTTTTCATTTCTTTCATTCTTTTGCAATAAGCGATAGCTATATTCTATTTTGTTTTTTAAAGGACACGGTAGAGTTTTATGGATACATATTCTTTAGTGACTAATTCTTCGATCCAGAGGTAATTTGCATAAACAAATATAAACATTTTTTTGTCAGAACACAAACGAACATATAAGTGGTAATCCCTGAACGGCTAACATGCACAGACACCATCGGTACAGCTTCCTTCTTAGCAAAACAAAGTACAACCCATCTTGTATTTGACTTTCCATTATAAATGAAACATCTTGTATTTGACTTTCCTTCTTAGCAAAACGTTACGTGTAAATAGACATATATATTATATATAATTTATAACGTGAATACTTGTAAACGTATAAGTTAAACCAACATATAATTTAGTTTGTACTTTTGAAAAAAAATATCCAACATATAAGTTAAATCTACCCTTTAAACACGTAACGTTTCTTGAAACCAAATTGTAGAACGCCAAATCACAAGTCAAACATTAATAGTATACATTAACATAACATTGTACGTTTTGCGTGTAATTAATCATATACAGTGTGGAATAGATATTGCTAAGACATTAGATGCATTTCTTTTTTCTTTTTGAAGAAGAAGTACGATAATTATTGATTGAAAGGGAATACGTACAAATAAGAGGATCATGCGCATACATGGGTCTCGATAAGAACCTTGCCGAGAATTTTAACCCAGTCGAAGGGACAAAAAGCATCCCACTCAAACAGCTTGAAAGGCTATCTATCCTCAATAACCAATTGGTTCACAAATTTTTCTAAAACTTAACTCAAGCAATTCTTCCATCTGGCAAAGTGCTTTCTTCAATCAACATATCCAATATAAGGTCAGGTGGCTCCCCTATCCAATATTAGATGCATTTCCTTTATCTGATAGATATGTACAAACCCTATGATTTTTCCATCAGCTTCCAAAGTATATATAAAAGAGAAACATAAGAAAGAGGAAACTTTACCTTCCATCCATCAAGCGGTTGAGACCTGCAGTCTACACGTCATGGGTGGTGCAATACACACGAACTTCCTTTTTATAATTTTTATTCGCTACTTTCCTTTGTCTTAATTTCTTACTTTCGGCATTGTATTTCTTAAAAAAAAATTCACTTTCCATGCATGATTCTTTTCTGCAACAAGCTTTCACATTAAGTAAGTCCCCTGCATCATGCATATACATACATACATACATACATACATACATACATATATATATATATATATATACGTATAGGTATCCAGTTGTTAATGGTCATTGGGGATTAATCGAATATCTAATCCAATTAATTTTGTTGGCCATTAAATTGTAGTTTGTAATCGAATCCAATGCCCCTTAATAATATGAGGATATTTGACTGCCCAGAAAAAAGTGTTTTGATTATACAATTTGCCGATTGTATCAAAGATTATAATTTCTATAATTTTAAATGCATATAAGATCAAAAGAATTATGAAACGATCCATAAAAAAAAGTATGAAACCAACGGCTTGAATTAGATAGGAATATTTTAAAACAAAACATATACTGAAAACTTAGATACAATGAGGATCCCTTTGTGTTGAGAATGAATTTCACATTGATGAGATGAATGACCTTATATGGGCTTATAAGTAAGTTGATCTACTCTCCATATTACCAATTGATTTTATGATGGAACCTTAACTTTCTTCATATTATCAGAGCAGATTGTTCGACGTGTAAATCTCAACAGCTATGCTCCTCGTCACCTGTTTGTATTGTCCATGTATTAGGCTTGAAATTTTGTCACACGTGAGGAAGCGTGTTGAGAACAAATCACACATTTCTCAAAGGCTACACTTGCTCCACGTCATCTATTGTATTGTCCATGTGTTAGGCTTGAAAATTCGTCACACATGAGGAAGCGTGTTGAAAATGAATCACACATTGATGGGAGTAAGAACTTTACATAAGCTTATGAGTAAGTTAAGTTATTTTCTATATTATCAATTAGTTTAAGGGTGAAATCTCAACTTATTTCACCTAAAGACACCTAACAGCCTCATATCAAACTTAACTTTGCAAGCCACAACAAAAGGGAGATGAGAAAAAGCAAATAAAAACATTACGCTTCACATGACCAAGGGTAGCTAATTCATCCACTACCAATATTGACCTCACGATAGACATGGTTGAAGCTTAACACCTGCAGATTAATTAAATTGGATTGTATGTAAGCACCAAGACATTTCCTTTTTACAAAACCTCAAGTATTATAGAAAACTGTTATAATTAAGAGTATAAATCTCACTATATATGAATAAAGAAAAAAAATTTTGCATGTGCTTATACATATTAGACTACTCCTTATATAGTTAATCAGTTTTATGATTAAACTTCAACTTTCTTTGAAAACAAAAGTGTAATTATGCTCGTAAATTATTTTATCCTTTCATTAGAATGAATGGCGGCCATATATTCAGTTCCATCATAGGTGGGATGTCTTTGACTAATATCATGAGATGTACTTGTGTTGGTATGGAAATCCTTTTTTTGGAATCCCGTGATCGTGACCGTTCATCGTATATCATGCGGTCATAAATCATTTTAATATACGATGAACGGTCACGATCACAGGATCCCCAAGAAAAGAATCCGGCGAGGATCCTTTTCCGTGTTGGGGTTGGTCTTATTGCCAACAGGGATCCTCTTTGGATCCTTTTGGTGAGAATCTTGGAGATCCGTGAATCGTGTCCGTTCATCATGCATCATACGATCAGTTTTTATTAGGTACTGTTTGTGTTTAATTTTAAATAAAAATATTTAAAATAATTTATGACCACACGATTTACGAATTTTTGGAATCCTCACAAAGAGAATCCGGATTTATCTTTTTGTAGGTTATGCTGAGTTGTAAAGCAAACATAGCTGAGGAAGACACGATCAGCTTTTTTTTGGTGCATCCATGTTTACGAGTGTTGTTATGTGTACTTCTTGTGATTTCTCCAATG